AACATGTGGGATCTTCCCGGACCAGGGCTCGAACCCGTGTCCCCTGCATTGGCAGGCGGACCCCCAATCACTGCGCCACCAGGGATGTCCCAAAAAGGAAGTCTTTTTTGTTGTAGTTTTATTTACTATAAAATTCACCAAGTATAAGCATACATTTCAGTAATTTTAACTGAGTTTCTAGGGTTGTGCAACCGTAATCGCAATCCAACTTTAAAACATTTCCATCACCCTAGAAAGTTGTCTTGATCCTCTGTGCACTCAGTTTCCACCCCTACCCGGAGCCACATACAACCACTGATCATCTTCCTGCCTCTATTGATTTGCAGTTTCTGGACATTTCATAGAAACAGAATCATAAAATATGTAGTCTTCTGGGGCTGTCTGTTTTTCATTTAACATAATATATTTGAGGTCTATCTATATTATAAGTATCAGTAAGTTTTCCTTTTTTTCCCCCAAGTGATCTATTGAGGCAAAATTGATAGACAATAAGCTGCACATATTTAAATCGTACAGATTAGTAAGTTTGACATACATACTCATGAAACTATCACCACAATGAAGATAGTGAACATACCATCACCTAAGAAGTTTCTTTGTGTCCCTTTTTAATCCATCCTTATATTCCCCACACCTCCCCAAGCAACCACAAATCTATTTTTCATTACTATAGGTTAGTTTATAGTTTTTAAAAGTTTTATGTGAATGGAATCATATAGTGTACACTCATTTTTATTCGGACTAGTTTCACTCAACATTAATATTTTGAGATTCATCCTTGTGTGTATCCATAGTTTCTTTTTATTGCTTTGTATTCCATTGTAGGAACATTAGTTCATTCTATAGAGCTTATTAATTCACCTTTTTAAAAAACTTACTTATTTATATATTTGGCTGCGCCGGGTCTTAGTTGTGGCACACGGTATCTTTGTTGCTGTATGCGGGATCTTCGTTGCAGCATACGGGGTTTTTAGTTGCGGCATGGGGGATCTAGTTCCCCAACCAGGGATCAGACCCAGGCCTCCTGCAATGGGAGTGCAGAATCTCAACCACTGGACCAGCAGGGAAGTCTCTAATTCACCTGTTGGTGGGTAGTTGTGTTTCCAGTTTTTAGCTCTTACGAATAAAGCTTCTGTGAACACTCATGTTCCAGTCTATAGTTACATATGTTTTTCTTTCTCCTGTGTAAATCACCAGTATTTGAATGGCTAAATCATGTGGTAGGTGTATGTTTAACTTTTAAAGAAACTGCTAAACTGTTCCCCAAAGTGGTTATACTTTATATCTAGGAGAAGCAGATGGATGGCTGTTGGGTGGCTCCACATTTTGTATCGTCTTTCTTTTTTATAAATAAATAAATAAATTAATTAATTAATGGCTGTGTTGTGTCTTCGTTCCTACTCGCGGGCTTTCTCTAGTTGTGGCGAGTGGGGGCCACTCTTCACTGTGGTGCGTGGGCTTCTCATTGCGGTGGCTTCTCTTGTTGCAGAGCATGGGCTCTAGGCCCACGGGCTTCAGCAGTTGTGGCACATGGGCTTAGTTGCTTAGTGGCATGTGGGATCTTCCTGGACCAGGGCTCGAACCCATGTCCCCAGCATTGGCAGGCGGATTCTTAACCACTGTGCCACCAGGGAAGCCCTCGTCTTTCTATTTTTTTTTTTTTTTTTGTGGTACGCCGGCCTCTCACTGTTGGGGCCTCTCCCGTTGCGGAGCACAGGCTCCGGACGCGCAGGCCCAGCGGCCATGGCTCACGGGCCCAGCTGCTCCGTGGCATGTGGGATCTTCCCGGACCGGGGCACGAACCTGTGTCCCCTGCATCGGCAGGCGGACTCTCAACCACTGCACCACCAGGGAAGCCCCTCGTCTTTCTTTTTAATTGTAGGCATTCTAATAGGTGTGGAGCAGTATCTTGCAGTTTTAATTTGTATTTACCTAATGATGATTAATGATATTGAGCATCTTTTCACGTGCTTAGTTGCCATCCAAATATCTTGCTTGGTGAGGTATCTGTTCAAGTCTTTTGCAGTTTTCTGTTGTGTTTTCTTGTTGATTTTTGAGAATTCGTTTTATGTTCTAGCTACAAATCCCTCCTTTACCAGTTGCATGCTTTACAAAGATTTTCTCCCAGTCTTTGACTTGCCTTTCAACATTCTCTTAACAATATGTTTTGAAGAGCAGAAGGATTTAGTTTTTATGAAGTCCAGTGTATGAACTTTTTTTAAACAAATAATCCTTTTGGTGTTGTACCTAAGAATCTTTGCCTAACTACAAGATCAGAGGATTTTTGCCAATTTTTTCTTCTAGAAGTTTCAGATTTTTTTTTTTTAGGTTTTTCATTTAGGTTTATTATCCATCTTGAGTTATGTATATGGTGCAATGTGTGGATCCAAGTTCTTGTTTTAATTCTTTTTTCTTTTATTATTCACATCTACTTGCTCCAGGAACATTTGTTGAAAAGGCTTTCTTTTCTCCACTGTATTGCCTTTGTGCCTTTGTAAAATGTCGGTTGGCCATATATATATATATATATATATATATATATATATATATATGGGTGTTAATCTTATTCTGGACTCTATTCTGTTCCATTCATTTGTTTATGTTGACATGAATACCACCCTGTCTTGATTACTGTAGCTTGATATAAATTCTTGGAATCAGGTAGTGTCAACCCACCAACTTTGTTCTTTTCCACAGTTGTTTTGGCTATTCTAGACCTTTTGCACTGCTATCTGAATTTAAGGATCAGGCTGTCAAGTCGCTACAGAAAAACTTTCCTGGGATTATGGGTGGGATTTTATGACTCTGTAGACTAATTGTGGAGACTGGTCTGTTTGGATTATTTCAGAAAATGATTCTTTTTCTAACAAGCTACATCTCTCCATTTATTAAAGTCTTTACAGATTTCTCAGTGATATAGTTTTCAGAATGTCTTTTACATTTTTTTGTAATTTTTCCCATAAGTATTTCACATTTTTAAATTGTATTATAGATAGTATTGTATTTTTTAAAACTAAATGGCCTCATAGAATGAATTGGGAAATATTTTCTTCTCTTCATTTCTATTCTTGAATGATCCATTGGATGTATATAATGAATTTTGTTTGTCAAATCCTAGTTTGAGACTCTGATGAATAATGTTGCTACATATATTCA